CTGGTTCAAGCCGATTCCACCCCATACCATAATGCTTGGACCTCCCCATGCGTCTCTTTCGATAATACAGTTATCAGCATATCTTTCGCCCTGTCTTCTCCAGATTCTTGTCCTGCCATCTGCATTTGAAATTGAGTATCGGCTTTCGTCTGAAAAGATAATCATCCTCCACTGCTGATGTCGCCAATTTTGACGATGGGTGGCCCACTGTAGTCGTTCGCGGCGATGGCGTGGTGTCAGAATAGGACCTCTGGCAGGACGACGACAACTCAGGTTACGACTATTCAATCGACGCCGAACTGTATCATCACTAATCAGTTTCTGGTTAATGCCAATTGTCTGACGAGCAGTGTGAGTTGCACAAAGGAACCGGTTCTGCAGATGCTGTCGTAAGATGTAACGATCCTGACGTCATGTTGTCACTCTTGGGCGACCAGTGCGTGGACAGTCATTTGTACTGTTAGTTGTATTGTACGTTCACGTAGACGTTGGATAGTGCGAACATTGCAGTTAAATGCATTTGCAACAACTTGAGGCCGCTGTCCAGCATTCAAACGTCCTATTGCTTGTTCACGTTGTCTTGGGTTCAGTCGTGGCATCAGTACTGCATTAAACATATAATGATTACACCAAAACTTTACACGTCTTAAATACCCCTACTAAGGCACGGATTCAACGTGCGTATCATCATCTTGAAATTTTCATGCGGAACGCGTCCCACGGACCAAGCAAAACCAACATTAGGACAACAGAACTAATGAGTGCAGTCAGCCGTAACGGAGATTTAAACATAATCGTAGCATCGTTTAGGTGTAATTTACCTTAACCAAAATAAATCAATTAATTTTTTTCGATGTTTTTGAAAATTATAGTTTTCGAAATATGCGACGTTTCTTTTGCGGTTCAGTATACAAACAAGTTTCATTACTGTGTGGCAGTAACAATATTCTTGTACAAGAACAAAAACCATTTCAATCCATACAGATTCCACACAACAGAAAGCTAAATATTAAAACTGATTCCAAAACAATAAAAAAACAGAAACCACCGAGCTACCAGTATTTTTAACTGCATATCGAAATTTCCAAAGTTACAGAATTAAATACCAGCAAGTCTCAGGTCAAGTATGTAAGAGTCACACATGACATTATATTTAGGGTTTAATTTACATAACACCCAAATCTTTATTAAATATCAATAGAAAATAACTAAACAGACAGATACACAAGCAACACTATATATGGATTTTTAAACTCTTCATTACTTAGTGTTATTCTGTAAATTTACTTGTTCAGTGAGCTCCAATGATAGATAAAGGATTAGAAGTTATATATTTGACATTTAAAAAGTTAAAAAAAAAGATTTTACCTTCCATCTCTCCAATTCATTTTTCATATCATCATGTAATTTCTTTAAAGCTACTGGCGTGGTGAGGCCTCTGTAGTACTTCCCCATTCTCTTTGTAAACTCTCAACCTAAAATAAATCAGTATACATTTGCTTAATGGGACAAATTTTATTATTAACTATAGTGTTTTAGGCTTACTTTTCTATATCAGGTGAAAAATTAGTTTTATATACCTACTGCTTTCCAACTCACATTAAAGCATTTATTTTAATAAATTCTGCATTGTTAAATATTTTCCATTTCTCTTCCTTTTTTAATGTTCCAAAACGCCATAATAAACAAAAATATGGCATTAGTTCTCCTGTCATATACATACACACAGACAAAAAAACATTAAATTTTGTCACACATTAATTTACCTAACAAAACATTCCACGTCTAATTAATTCAAACCCCTTCAGTAAATTAACAAACACTCAATGATTTAACTTTGTTAATCATATACTCATCAACTCCTATAAAAATTTCACTGCTCTTTTTCAAGTTTTTACTTCAGATATCATAATCACATATAGAATGGTACCTAATTTTCTGTTCTACAGTTTTACCACACAAAATGTATGCATTAGCTTTTCACTTGTGCCGTATCAAACAGTATTAACTTAACATCTTTTACATTAAAAACAAAGTCTAAGCTTTCTTACTTAGCATGATTAATTATCCTGAAATAGGCTTTATAGACTAATTTCTACCCAAAATACCATACATTTATACACAAAAAGAATACTATATAAACTCTTTCATTATTAATATATGTAATAAACAATATAGAAAATATCCCTCTATTGGCAACTACTCAATAACAACCTTGCCCACTTGAAACTCAAAAGGCATGCAGAGAAGTTTATCCTAAGGAAGAGTTTATGGATCATATTTCCAATTTATGTACATCTATACAAATCTGATCTATATAAATAATTTTCTAAAACATTGTAGAGAATTTATATCTTTGGAATATGCTTAATATTTGAATATAGCATGCTAAACTTTCAACATTTTATACCTTGTGATGGTCTTTTTCTGCAACAGTAAAATATATGACTAGGCCATTGACAATAGTCTCAACTAGCTCAATAATGACACAACTGAATAATAAGGGGGACTTTTTATTAACTCCTTAAGCCCGGGCAGATACTTCCAGCATCCAGCTGAAAATCCTGATTTACCTATCAGATGGTGACAGAGTCCTATAACATTTATGTCTCTTTGGCTAAAAACTAATCCAAACCATGTTATTATAAATAGACCAGAAGCTAGGTGAAGCATAGTCATTTGTTTTGAAATAAATTTCAGATCAACGGCCGAATGTAAAAAAACATTACAGGTTTAAAAGAGTTAATACACAAGACAATTCATAAACACTAAACATGCTGAGTGGTGAATCAAGTCAGGCACCAAAAGATTAAAATCTTCATGATAATGCCTGCAAAAGGGATAATAATGTAGCGATAAACTATTAACTCTTCACCTAACTTACAATGAAGTATTTATGTACTGCAGCTAAGCATACACTGATGTCCTATGTTTACAATAATTAACATAATACTGTCACAAGCCAATGAATAGTAAACACCTTGTACAAAGAGTGTGACTGTTGAATTACATTAGACACTATAGTTTAAGTTTAAACAAGATTATTGTACAAAATGTAAGTAAAAAACTTAAAAGTTATTATTAGTACAGTGTTGGTCTCCTTATCTAAGAAAGGATACTGAATTATTGTAAATGCTTCAGAGGATCACTACTAAAATGATTCTATAAATGAAATGGTTATCATACAAGGATAGGCTACAATTTTGTGAAAACAGATCATCTTACTGAAGTTTATAAGATTATCTGTGGGTTGATAGGCTAAAGGCCTCTGATTTCTTTGTTCAATATTCCGAAGATAACAGGATGAGATGACACAGGTTTAAAAATTTGGAAAGACAGGTTATGCTCCAATTAATTAAGTTTTATTTTTCCCAAATGGCAATTGACTTGTGGCATGAGTTACCATTAGGCAGCAGTAGAAGTTAGCACCTTGCAGGAATTAAAGAGAGTAATTAGTTATTTCCTCAAAAGTGTGTATTTAAAAGTTTACTTCTCCCAAGAACATGGACAGCTTTTATGGACCAAACAGTCCCTTGTTGTCCATTGATTACAGTAATATATGAGAAATTGATAGGATAAAAACCTCCGATTTCTTTGTGATGTATTCTGAATACAATAGGATGAAAGGACACAAGTTTAACATTTGGCAAAGACAGGCTAGACTAGTTAAGACAGTTTTATAATGGGATGACTGACTTATGAAATAAGTTGCTATTAAAAATAGATGCTGACACTCAAGGAATTAATGATTTCTTGAGATATTAAATGTGATATTAAATGTTTTCTTATTTTACAGGGTGGGTTTGCAAGGACAGCCTTGAATGACCAAATGGTTCCTTGTTGTTTATATTGTTATATATTTGAAAGCTTGGGTATGTTAAAAAAGTAAAAATGCTCCATGGCTTATGAAGATCACCATGTTTGTCTTTATAACCCCTTTTGAAGTTACTATATGATAGTTTGTAGATAAAATAAGGTTTCAGATATGCAGAATATTTTCACATACATACAAGATAACAATGCTAGCATAGTACTTTTAGTATCAAAGCAAATGAATTACAAAACACACATTTTTCAGATTATTTGTATTATTTATAAAGAAGTATCCAATAGAAACATTACAAAATTTTTAAATTTCAGCACACACACATCTAATTATGGAAACCATTCTAAAAGTTAATAAGTTTAGATATAAAAGCATTAATTCTATATACAAAAACAAATAAGAACTAAAACTTATCAATCTAAATCTTTAATGATTTGGAAATGTAACTGTTGCAAGTACATCTGAAAAAAACACTTGGTGTTATTTGAAGTGCCTCATGTTTTTGTTTTCCCTTTTACAGTAATTACTTCACATTTTTATAAATACATTTATAACTCTCCTACATTTCTATAAAACAATGTTTTTAGAAATATATTTTTAGGAAATCACCAGATTTTTTATATACATTAAACATTCTGTACTATAGGTGTAAATATACTGTCTACAGATTTTCAGCTAGTCTACATAGCTTCATTAATTGTTTGTACTTGATTTTCATTTCTGATTTTTGTTAACTGTATAATTATTTTTAGGCTTAGGCAGACTGACATGTATAAAACTACAGCTTGTAATATTTTTTCAGCTGTTTATCAACAAGTAGCCTCTGACTCAATGGCAGCAGAAATGGTAAAGCACTTTGTAAGAAACATATCTGGCATTTAATCTTTTTCCCTGGAAACTTACAGGAATACATATTATTTCAAGAGCAATCTAGAGGTGTACACCGATTCATAATTGGATAACATTCAAAGCAGTTACAATCATTTTTTGTCAGTAGAGTTGGGTGATATTTGTAACATAGTTCAGACGATGGTCATGGCATTGTTGAAGTATGTTATCCATATGGAATACTCATCATTCTCGAATATTTTGTGAAACCTGTGAAGAATTGCTGAGAAAATGAGCCAGACTCTCCAAGTCTGTTCTTTTTGAGACAGAAACAAGGTCAGATTCAATGCTAACCTGCAAACGTAAAGTGTCTGAGATGTTACAAGTGTAGCAGGTGTGGATGTGATAATGATGGCATGTCAACTGCTTAAAAAGTTAGATGCAAGAGAAGTCAGAAAATATTTGGCAGTGGAAGTGCTGTCAAGCACCCTATGAGAGGTATATCTGCATAGGAGAGAGATAAACTTATGGATATGGATGAGAGCAGAAGGAGGAGGATTCAAGATCAGGTACAGAATGAGCAAAATGCCAGAATACTACAAGGAGAGAGGAGTACTAAAATAATGGCAAAATACTATAAATATAGTGTGCAGGGGTTCAATTTTGGTAGGATAGAAATGCCTTACCGACTACCTGGATCAAGGTAAAAGGTATGGCAAAATGATCTCTGGACCATGCCCGACACAGCCTTATTTAACACTTGGAAGTTTGTAAATAAAATTATAACAATTCGAGTATGCAAAACATTTTTACATTCACACGAGATAAAAATGCCAGTATTGTACTTTTAGTATCAAAGGAATCAAGACACATTGACATTTTCTAAGATTATCTGTATTATTTATAATAAGGAATTATAGATTCATAAAGTAAAAAAAATACATGTTTAGCATCCTCGCTTGCTCCTTTTTTGCAGATGTTTCCACCCCCACTTTTTTGGGGGCAATTTTTCTCCTTTTTTTGAATTATTATTTTTTAATCATACAAAGAAAAAAAAAAGACTTCTGTATAAAAAAAATTAGATGAACAGTTCATTCATTTTGCCATTTTTCTTTAATCATCAGAAATTCTGCTTGACACAGACTCTTTGAAAACAAGCAAATATAAAAAGTGTTGAAACTTTCTCTCAAAGAAGTCATTAAAAAAAAAGGCCCTCCTCCTTCACTTTTTCGAAAACTCTGGATGCTAATCGTTTTTTATTTTTCACTTGGCCTAAATATATTTGTGTGTGTGTGTGTAGTACCTAGTCTACCAAAATCTTAAGTTTTATACAACAAAAACTTTAACTTAGTTTAAAGTTTAAGTTTAGCATTAAATCAGACTCATCACTATACTGTTATTAAATAAAAGATTACACTTAAAATGAATCTCACAAACTACAAATTACGTCAATTACTAAGTTAGTCATTGGCCGAGTTTACCCTTAATAATAATGACACATGATAAATTCTAGAGCAAAATATAATCAATTAATCCTCTACCAGTTTACTACTGCCATACCGTAACACAGATTGACCCAATCTTAAGAGAATGTTGGTCTTTCAGGTTTTTCTTCAGTATTGGGTTTGGACATTTAACTCGATATTCCCAAAAGTGATATGGTGTAGAAATAATCAGTGTAAAAAACAAAAAACGTAAACATCCCACGCTACACCTTAACCCTAACAACCAACTAGACGGAAAATTCATACAAAAACAACAGTGCTGTTAGTTAGATCCTCTTTAGTCTAGTTTTATAATCTACTAAATTTTATATATTTCATTGCAAAATTACTAATAATTAGACATATTTATAATTCTCACATTTTATTATAAGAACTAAAAAAATATGTGCTAGATTTAACATATTTCATTAACATTAATAATAATTATATTCATATTTTAAATTACAACATTTCGTTAGGATAGCAAATTTTTGGACAGAGTAAATTACCGAATACTTCCCATCACAGCTGTTCTCCGTTGGATCAGAGGTAAGTTTACGGACTTACAACGCTAAAATCCGGTGTTCAGTTGGAAACACAGATAGCCAGTCGTATGGCTTTGCACTAAAAGAATAAGCAACAAAAACAGTCTATCACAACCGTGTTTTAAAATCATTGTAGAAATGTAAAAGGTTGCAAGTGTCCTGTGAGGTAGAAAATTTCGGAGGAAGTAAAAACTGACGATACTGTTACGTCTCCGTTCGTTAGTTAATTTTCCGTAAATTCGTTCCGACGAAACTTTAGCGACACAAGTCCTTTCTTAAATAAAACTGGTTTATTCTTTCTGAATATAACTGTACGATAAACTTAATTTCAACAGTCGCTCTATAACAACGCTATGTCTCACGTGGCCAACAGTATTTTGTCCGCATACATTCAATTACTCATTACACTGTTGTCCCATCACGTTGTGAATGTCTTATTTATACAAGACTAACACATGTCTAGTAAATGCTAGGGCATTCTTGAAGGAACAGGATATTTCTAGAAACAGGTGGCGTGATACTAGTCACGTGACCTCGCTGACGCAACAATATTATGTTGGATTTGGCTATTATCATAGTTAGACCACATTTGGAGTGTTGTGTTCAGTCATGGGCTCTTTACTTCAAAAATTGACATCTAAATGTTGGAAAGGATTCAGAGGAGGGCTACTAAGATGATAATTGGGATAAAAAGATTATATGAGGATAAGTTAAGATATCTGAAAAAAGAATTAGAGGACATTTTATTGTTAAGGGAATTGAAAGTGTTGAGGTATCTTCTTTTTCCTACTTAACGGTGAGAATGGTAAGTCTAAGGGACAAAAATAGACAGCTTTATTTTTCTAACAGGGTGGTTGGCCTCTGAAATGGGTTGCCTTTAGATGTGGTGGATGCAGTTAATTTTAAGGGAGTGTAAGCTTAAGGTGAAACTTCAAAGGTTTATATATATATTAAAATAATAAGGGCTGGCTTTGATGTGTTTTTTAAGGTTTAATTTGGTGGATAGGACAGCTTAATGGACCAAAAGGTCCCTTTCTGCCTTTTAATGTTATGTTATTTGAAATAGCGGTATATGAAACTTACCCTTTTTTTCTTTCTTTTTAGTTTGGCCCCAGTAGCTCAAAAGAAGTCTATGGGCATATAACGCTAAAAATAGTTTCGATACCCATGGTGGGCACAGCAAAGATAGCCAACTGTGCAGCTGTGTGTTTTACTACAAACAAATATTTTGTAGGTTTAGAAATATTAACGTTTTCTTATAGAATATAACAAGCCTAGTTCTGGAATGTGACTAACTTGATGTAGTACTAGTTACACATTGTTATAGATCGTTTCCTTCTGATATTATTGAATTACATCACAGAAGATTGAACTATGCAAATACAACATACATTAATCTCTTATAGTGTGTATAGTTCCTATCGAAAAAGAATAAAAAGTAAGTTCTGTTTCAGGACATATTGAGCACGATTTCAATCATGTGCTAAATTCATCTTGCGACATTACTTCCTGTAGCAAATCTGGTCATGGAACATATTTATTGTTTCAGGGGATAGTTGTATTGTATCATATTTTTATTCTGTATGTAGAGGCATGGCATATTGATATACCACGTGTTTCTACGTTCTTGTATTAATGTAATATTTATTCTGAATTTATCAGTTATTTCTGAGTATGTGCAAGTTTCGCATACTAATTGACCAACAAAATTGTTAAGCTGATGTCATTCTAGCTGTCTTTGTTATTTGTCGTTCTATTGAGGTTACATCTGTTCTTTCCATGAAGGATGGGGATGAATGTAATGCTGCACATTACCCACGAATCTAGACAGCAGTGTCCTTCAATGGTAGTGCAGGTGGTATCTCGAGGTTATGATGTTTGAAGGACAATTACCAGTATCGCGAGTAGTGATATCCTTCTGAGTAAATCTAAAGTTATTTTGAATTTAAACAGTCTGGTAGATGATTTTGGCCTCACCAGTTTTTAAAGAAAGTTACCTGATCCAGAAGAAGTGATCATCTGGTGACCGTAAAGCAAGTACACTGTTACGTATCTGCTTGTTTATTAATTCCTGGTAGAAATTCTTTCCGAGGAACTTCAATGATATAAGTCCTTTCTTGATTAAACCACTTTATTCTTTCTCGATACAAACTTTTAGTACACAGTAATTCCCACTGTCAGTACGTTTCTCGTCACTTTAAACTTAACGACTTTTACAATACACGCTATAAATCACAGCGATTCACAATCTCGATAATTTCGCTCTCTACAAGTGCAAAACACACACTAGTTCGAAACAGAATCGTAAATTACCCGAAAAACCGTAACTACTGTTCGCTTAACTATTATCCATTCATCCCGCTTTTCTCACCAGGCTTGTATACTAACAAAGAGGCATCCCCGATAATTCGAGAAACTCAGTCACGCATGCGCTAGCAGTGTCACGTGACTTCAGCTGTCGTAACAATACACACAATGTATTTGTGTTTATAAATTTAAAAAAAATTGGTTGCTTCCATTTTACAATGTGTCCAATCTCCATTTCATTATCACGAATTCAGTTGCTCAGTGATTCAGTATTATTTTGTAATAAATATCTTGTTGAACCTATTTTTAAAAAGTAAACCTATCTCATTATTTTAAGGTTAACTCAGTTTTGTTTGAATATACCACAGATGATTGCTTTATGACCGTCACGTGGAACAAAAATACTTCTGGATTCTTGTGATTCATTTTCTGTTTGTTCGGTAACGGAGAAAGTAAATAGTGAATGCAATTTTGAGGAAGATTTTTTTCTCTCTTCAGAGAAAGAGCAGATTATTTTCTGGCCGGGTTCAATACTTGCTTTTGACATTGTGCTCATGTTTTAACTATTTATATTTTACTTCTGCTAATTATATGAGTTATATTTTCTTAAGGTAGCACTGACCTTGGCAAATTTACATGCTGAGGAAACATTGTTAAACACTTCTTATAACATTGAAGCTGAGCACAAAACAAAATATGATGTTGTAATCTTTAAAAGTACTGTTGCGTCATCGAGGTAACGTGACTGGTGTGGCGCCACCTATTTTCTAGAACTATCCTGTACCTTGGCGAATGCTCTAGTATTTACTAGATATAGGGTAGCCCCAGACAACGGCAAGCCCCTTACAGAGCCCGCAGCTAAACCCTAATGCAGACATATTCAGTCCCGTTAGAAGTCACATCCCAGATATGAATGTCAGTACTAGGAGTGATCCAGTACGAAGGAAGCCACAATAATTCGATGGGAAGGCACCGTGGGAAGCATATAGAGCACAGTTTGAGCTACTGGCAGAGATGAACAGATGTACGAAGGAGAAGAAAGCAGTATATCTGGC